AGGAGAGGAGAGGAGAGGAGAGGAGAGGAGAGGAGAGGAGAGGAGAGGAGAGGAGAGGAGAGGAGAGGAGAGGACCTCACCACACAGTCTTGTCATGAGCTGCTCCAGTTCTCATCGGAGTGACTACTAAAACTGGGGAGGGGGAGGCAGGGCARGGAARATTAAAGAAAGAAAACTGAAGTTCTTGTCAATCAAAGGAAATGTTACAGGCACTGGTGCTCTCTGTGGGGATATRTCAATGGAGGAAAACCAAAGTACCAGAGTTGTTGTGTTTTCAGTTTTCAGTGACTGAAATTTAAACAAGTTTATATGCTGGGAAAATGACTCCAGTTTCCCCTGGATGAGGCACGTTAGCCCTGCATGTTTTCTGGCACGACAGAAACACTGCACTGCCTGCTGCAGGCTCACAGCATCCTGCCCCAGCACGTTCCTTCACCACTGCTGCAGGTGCAGGTCCATGCTGGTGTTCAGGTTGAGGTCAGCAACATCCAGGAAATCGATGTTGAAGATGCTGGGGCCTGTGGGGGTGAGGGAGCTGAAGCCGGTGGCGGAGCTGGGCGGGGTGAGGTCCAGCCACTCCATCGTTTCCCACGGAGACTCAGTGAAACTCATTTGTAAACCGGAGCCTTCGGCAGGGGAAGGGGAGAGCTGGGTTTCCATGGGCGAGAGGGGAGTCTGTAAAATCTCCTGGGAGTTGAGCAGTTCATCTGCGGCTTTGCCAGAGAACCCCTCCATCATCCCTTCGAAGTGGGGCTCCTCTCCCCCCATCTTGAGCAGGGCCATCTCGCTGACCCTGTCCAGGGGGCTGTGGGCATTCAGCAGCACCTCAAGGTGGGYGTCGCTGCTGCCCGGGCAGTGCTCGAAGGGCAGTGGTGCTGAGGACACCGGCTCGAATGGGGCAGAGGCCTTGGGGAGAGAAGCACTGGAGCTYCCTGTAGACACCATTATCTGAGGTACCTTCTGCAGGCAGGACCGATCTTCCTTGGCATTGGCTGGAATCTCTGTCAACAAATTAGAGGGATTTGAGATGCTCTGACAGAGCTCACCACTGCTGGTCACAGGGGCACCACCACAGCCCTACACCTGACCTCTTGGGAACCCCTACGGAGACTCACACCCCTCTCAATCTCACTGGCATTGCTTGTCCACCCTCCCTGYGGGAAGCCTCTCACATTCCTGCTTTCTGACCTTGATCCCCTGGGTTTAGACACAGTCCCTAGGGCACAAGCACTGGCAGCTGTCCCCAAGGGACTGGAAAAGGGCTCAGGCAGCACTTTGCACAATGGAGGCCATCAGAAGTGCTTTGTGTGGGAGATGGCACTGGCAGCACTGGGGACACTGGGGGCTCTGTGTGGGGAGGGGGCTGGCAGGGCGTGCCCAGGGTTGCTGCCCTGCTGCCCCTTCTGGGTTGGCACCTGCAGGAGCAGGCTCCGGGAGGGCCAACGTGCTTTTGGGTTCAATCTCAGTAGCTGCTGGCACAGGGAAGGCAAATGAAAGCTGTATTCAACTCAGGCAGTTCTGCTGGGGTGCACAGAATGCACTGAGCCCCACAGACCGATGCTGGCCKGCAGGGGAAGCCCTGGAGGGGAACAAGGAAGCAGAGCGTACCTCCACTCTCAATCAGCACGTCCAGGAGCTCRTCCATCTGCTGACTTCGTGTCATCTGCTGCAGCAAACGACAAAGAGGAGAGTAGAGGGCGTTAGGAGGAGAGTCCCTCCAGCCAAAAGCCAGGTAGATGGCTCTAAACCCCCAAAAAGATGGCTCTAGACCCCACAAATGGCTTCCTCCCATGAAGAAGAGAGGCAATACCAACATGGCGCTGGCAGCGGCATTCAGGGCACTGCAGGGACATGGGACAATCAGAGGGATCCAAGGAGAAAAACACACTGCCCTGCTGGCAGCCCTCTGCTTGGTGGCCACCACAGCCTGCCCTSTCCCAGGGCCCTCAGGACACACAATTATTTTGCTCCCAGCACCTCACACTGGCACCTGCCTGCCTGCCCTCCCTGCTCCTGCACTGCCCAGTCTCCCTCCTCTCCCTGACTGGAACCTGGAGGGATCCCCTGCATGCCAGCATAAGCCTATTTTCATCCCTGCCAACAGCATCACTCCACTTCCCTAAAGGCAGCCTCACTCCCAGCACTGAGAGTGCTGCCAGTCTCTGATGGAAAGGTGTTCCTGGGCCATGGACAGTGCTCCCGTGGGAACAGCGCTCAGGGTACGGCTCAGGGAGGCAGATGGCATGGAGCAGGATGAGGTTTCCTGGTGACTTGGGAATGCTCAAGGGTCTGTTTCTCACACAGCTTTGACCATCCAGAGAGAGTACACRGGCACCCCACGGGACATGGGGCGTGTCAGGATCCCTGGGTACATAGGTACTATCCTGGCCAGCAGGGTGTCCGATGCTTCGTGCAGGCAGACAGCACCTAACCCTTCAAAAAATCCAYTCCTCATGGAAACAGGCCTGTCCTACCCAGAGACCCCAGAATGGGTTGGAACTCCTGCARCTGAGTTCCACTAACTGCAAAAGGACATCAAGGGCAGCCCTGGCCCTGTAGAAAACAAAAACCATGCAGTTACCTGCTTCACTGCATCCTCATAGGGTGGAGGCTGCTTGACCTCAGACAGGGCTGGGCTTGACTTACAAAAACTTGGGGATGGAATAGAAAACTTTTGGCCTGACTGCRCAGCCATCTGCATGGGAAATACAGGGAAATGGAGTCAATGCACGGCAGGAGGCCCAGCTCTCTCATCCCTGTTGAGGTCAATGTGGTGCCAGGGAAATTAACGATTTTGTGGATCAAATGAACTCAAACAAAATGCCTGGCCTTTGAACAGGACAGAGGCAGGTGAMCCAGCTCCCTGAGCTAGCTCTGTGATCCAGGGCCCAGCTGGCCTCTGGTCACTGCCAGAGCACAGACATGGTGTCACGGAACATCCTGGCGCTCGGTCAGCTGTGGACATGCAGGACAAAGGCAAGACAGAGGTGGGCTGCTGGTGGTCAGCTGTGCTTGGCAGTGATGAGGCACTTCCCCAGCTGTCCCCTCCCCATCACCACCTGCCTGGGGGCATCTCAGAGAGCCCAAGCCAGRGAAGATCACCTGAAAGAGGGAAACCTCTGCCTGTGCTGAACACCTGCGTATCTTTGCCAACTTTTTTGCCAGGTTCCCCTTCCAGTATGGACCACATATGAATGACAGTGCCTGCCTGCTGCTGTCCCCATCATCTCTAGGCAATTGTGTATCCTTCCCCACTGCCTGGCCATGGCCTTGCCCCACAAAAACCACAAAAACCAGCAAGCACCAGGGAATTGCCCCTTCAGGAGGGTTGGATCCAGGGGTGTATCCAAGGCAGCAGYGAGATCACTCTGCCTGGCCATGCATATCCTGGCCACCTTTCTGTGGAGAGAGCTGGAAGAAACACTACCTCTGGCTCATGGGAAACAGCACTGCAGTGCTGAAGAGGTACCCTTGGCCCTGGGAGTCCCTTGCAGGCAGCAAAGGAATGCCCAGGATGGGTGGTGTTGGAGTTGGGATGAGCTGCAGCACACAATGGGACCATCCCTCTGTACACACCCTGCTCTTGGGAAGTGAGGGAGGAGCTGGAGATGCCCCTGCAGTGCCRCTGCTCTCTCCTGATCCTCACTGACCACTGCCCAGCTGGCCAGAGYAGCCTTGCTGCCTCTCTTGGGTATCACCTCATGGCATTGTGTCCCTCTCCCTACTGCCCCCCAGCTCTGCTCCAGGGTCCAGTTCACCTCCACAGCCCCAGTGCCAGGGTCACCTCCTACATCCCCTGCTCCCCATTGCCCAGCTCACCCAAACCAGTGCTCACAACAGCTTCCTCCCCACTGCAGCAGCCTCACTGCCTTCCTTACCCCAACCCCACTGCCCTCCATGCCCATTCCACTGGCAGCTCTGTCTCTGCCCTCCTCACCTTAAATTGCTGCCCTTTCCCATCTCACTGGCCRTGCTGTTTGCCAATTGCCCATGGCACCTACCTCCCCATCCTTGGGACACAGCACTGAGCCCCACTTTGTGCCTCTATGCAGGGCTGCACCCCAGTGCCTGCTCAGGGCCCACCGTGGGTGGCTTGGGAGTGGCTCTGCTGTGGCATGGGCTGCTCTGCACACCCAGCCTGCCCCTGCTSCAGCCCTGTTGCACACCTTGCACCCCTGTGCATGGGACAGGTCACTGAGAGCTGCTGCTGCCGTTTGGGGAGCCCTGGGAGGGAACTGGATAAACTGGGACTGCGATCAGCAGAACCTTGTGCTATTTGTGCTGGCAGCATGTCCCCATCCTCAGGCATTTGTACCTGTCCACGGAGCTCAGTGAGGAGTGGTGGCCACTGAGAACAACTCTCTGCTGGGCTGGCAGCCTGGTGGGGAGGCATCAGCTCGCTCTGACTGCAGACCCCAACTGCCAGCCCTATTCCAGCTTCCTGAGAAAAGGCTTCCCAGGGCAACTGCTCTCCTCCAGCTCAGTGGTGAAAATTCCTCACACACTGCTGGGAGCCACAATGGTTTGGCAAGATGCTGGGAAGCCCTGCAGTCCTGCAGTGGGGTCTCCTGGGGTGTAGGAACTGTGCCAGGGCTCTCCCAAGAGTTGAGGGGTCCATGCTGGTGCTTCCYTGGTGTGTACAGAGCTGTGCCAGGRCTCTACGGGGCACGGGCAGCTGAGCCAGAACTCCCCCAGGCACAGAGCAAGCTGTGCCAGGAGTCCCCCTGAGGGGAGAGGCAACTGGGTTTCAGCTCTTTTAAGGCAGAAGAGGTTGTGCCTATGCTCCCCCAGGGAAGGAGCTGTGCCAGGACCCCTCCAGGGGCAGAGGGAGCTGTGCCAGGGCTCCATGGGGCAGAGAGAGCTGTGCCAGAGTTCCCCAGGGCAGAGGGAACTGTGCCAGGGCTCCATAGGGCAGAGGATGCTCAGCCAGGACTCTCCCAGGACACAGGGGGCTTTGCCAGTGCTCACCTAGGGACACAGAGACCTGTGCTGGGATCCTCTGGGGAAGAGAKGAGCTGTGCCAGCACTTCCCCAGGGCAGCAGGAGCTGTGCCAGGGCTCCATGGGGCATGGGAGCTGTGGTGTGGCCCTGCCCAGGGCAACTGGCTGTGGTGGCAGAGCTCCCCTGAGATATCCTGCAAAGCACCCTGCAGTGCTACTGGCTGCCAACCCACTCTCCGTCGGAAATGCTCTCTGCCCTTCCAGGCAGCTCCACATGCTGCCACAGCCTCTGGGTGCCCACCCAGGTGCCAGCAGCCCTGGGCCAAGAGGAAAGGCCTCCCCCATGTTGGTGTGACCCCAGGAGGCTCTGGGTTGGCACTCACCGGCGCTGTGCGGAGGCAGCTGCTGCCTGGCGGGGACCCGCTGCAGCCCTCGGGGGACATGGGCAGCAGGTAGTGGCTGTTGGGGGATGGTGGCAGGCTGATGTGCTGGGGGCTCTTTGCAGCCCCCAGGGGAGAGTGCTGGGGGGAGCACTGCGGGCTCAGGAATGTCGAGGAGGTGATGGTGCTTTGCCCAGCGGGCTCCAAGCAGTGGCTATTTACAATGTGGGGCACCTGTGGTACCCCACAGTTACTCAGCTTATCAGAGCTGCCAACCTGGCCTTTYAGGGCCATTTGTTTGGATGCAAAAGGACAGCTGGACACGGTGTTTTCTTGTTTGATGGGGACACCAAAGAAATGCTGAGCAGGCTGYTGCTTCTCCTCAAGGCCATTGCTTCTCTTTCGCTTCTGGAGCTGCATCCGCAGCTCTTCCACTTGTCTCTGCTCTTGCTGCAGCTTCCAAGTCAGTTCATTGATGACTTTCTGCTTCTCCACCAGCATCTTGTCTTTCTCTGTGTCTATTCCTTCCAGTTCCAGCTGGATGCTCCCTCCATTCATGCTGCTCATGAGGCTTTCCTCAGCACTGCCATGAACTGGAGATGGCTGGAGACCGAACTGTGGAGAAGACATGGGCCCATCGTTGAAGGTGTCTGGCAAAGAGCCACTCACAGAGAGGTCAGAGGAGGCGGGYGAGATGGGTGGGGTGGAGCTGGTGCTGCCAAAGTGGTAGAAGCCATTTGATAACATGCTGGTGGAGGACTGTGACTGGTAACTGGACAGGGTGCTTGTTGGAGTGACTGGGAAGGTGACAGTGGTGATCTCACTGAAGTTTGGGACTGTGTTGCTGCTGCACTCCTGGAAGGGCCGCAGCCGCTCCATCAGCGCTGTTTTGGTACCTGACACAGGCAGGCCTCGTATTCGGAGYTGCTGCCTCAGCTCTGACACCTAGAAGGAAAGTCACTCGTGATCAGTCTGTGGCACATGAGCCCTTTAGAAACCCAGTGCTTCTAACAGGCAGTCTCAGGTCACAGGCTTGCAGCTTCCARCTTTAAAGCTCTGACCTCCCAGGTGCTCCCTGTCTCACCTGCGGTCACCAGAGTCACCATGCACAGGCCTGACCACTGCACATCCTGCAGAATCTCAACCTTTCCTAACAGGAAAACCTTTCTCCTTCCTCCAGGAACTGTGACTCCTCTCAACAAACCAGCAGTGGTCCTTGGGTCAGGGAAGCAACTCAAGATTCCCTTCCTATCAAGTAGGTTTCTCCATGAGCAGAGGACTTTAACACGGACCAGGACCCAGCTGACAGCTCAGAGAATGTGACACATACCTTGGAACCATGCTCTATGCTCAGGCACATGATTCAGTCACTGTGCTGGGGCAAACTCATATTATTTCTAACTCTGGGCTGGCCCCACATCTCTGCTCCTAGAAGGATTTGGCCTTCTCCATGGCTAAAGGTCCATAAGCTGAGTATAAAAGAACAGCTGATTTGAGGGATTCTCCCCTATGCCCTCTCTTACYTACATGAGAGGTGCTCAAAACAGYGCATGTAGCAGGAGGTACSTGCTCCTGCAGAACGCTGAGTTGGYCTGGCTGCAGTAACCACTGAGGAGCTGAGTCACTAAGGGGAGGCCACGCTGACCTACTGGCTTCTGGCTGGTCTGTTGGAGCACCCATGATGTCTACCATAAAGCCATAGAGGGATGGATCCGGGAACTGCAGAAKCAGCAGCTCAGATCACCCTTTAGCCTGACCTGCAGTCTCCCCAGGCTACACCTTTGGTTTGCTGATACACAGGCTGGAGCAGTGCACCCCCTCATCATCTGCAGAGCAGCAAGCCCTCATGTTCAGATCCTCACAGTGCCCAACCCCTGCCCCAGGGTGTWGGGCTGTACTCCTGGGTGGCTCAGAACACGGAGGTTCAGGTGTACTCATCTGTAACATGGTCACTCTCAGCCTGTGACACTCCCCTGGTACTCAGAGAAAGCACAGCACACTCAAGGCTGTGACATTCTGCTCCTGCAGTGACAAAATTTGTACTCACTTTGAGATCATCCAGGTTGGATGGCAGAGGGCCTGGCTTGATAGACGAGACACAAGTCTGGCCTGAAAAGGTGGTTTTCACTGGAGAAAGAGGGGTGTTGACAGAAGCTGATGAAGAACTTGAAGTTTTGACCATTTGCTCATTTGATTGCCTGAAATAACAAAGGAGATTTGGGGTAACTTGTCTGTTCCCCCCAGGGTCTTTGTGCCCAGCATCCCATCCCTCTGCTCCCTTGGGGCTGCTGTCTCCATATGAGACTTAAGGATGGCTAAGGAAAAYCAGGCTGGGCTGCAGGAGATTGCTGGTGTCCCACCAGCAGGTCACAGGTGCCCCTGTAACGCACAAAGCCAGAATTACTTGGAAGGAGTCTGTGCTCCTCCCAAGCTTCTCTGTTTCACTGGCATGCCTCTATCCCCTTGCTCTGGCACAAAGCCACTCACTTTAGCTGTCCTTGGTGCATCCCGGGGTAACTGAAGTGCTGCTGCTGCTGCTGCTGCTGTTGCTGCTGCTGCTGCTGGCTGAGGATCTGGAGCTGCAGGAAGAGTTGCTGCTGCTGGAGCAGTCTGGCATATGCAGAATCCATGGGTGGAGGGGACTTTTCTGCTTTCTGGTCTGGTGGGATGTACTGGTGGTACTTGAGCTTCTTCACTTTGGGCTTGGTGTCTTTAGGCTTTTTGTGTCGGTTCTTGCTATCACTGGATGATTTGGACTGTTGATCCAAGAAGGAAAGGAATTAGGTRTGAGAAGAGCTCCTGTCACCCCCTTGGGACCTCAGAGGCCTGGGACACAACAAGGACAGCTCATACAGGCACCCTGATATTCCAGCTCCAAGAGCTGCTGAGCCTGGGTGTGGGGGACTCCCTCGGCACTGCATCCCATCTTAGCTGTGCTGGAGGGCACGTGAGATAGATAAAGAATGACCCTCCCTGCCTGGAAGGTATTCCCATGTTGCCAGTATCTTCTCATGCTCCCAGCCCCAGGGGATGTTTTCAGTGCAGGACTCAAGCAAATGCTTCTAGCAAAGTGTACTGTTTTATCTTGAACCATTACACACTGAATTAAATTAGTTTTTGATACAAGGTTTGTCTGCCTGCATTATTCAAAGCTTTTAAGGCCAGGTACGCAGAGGTCCCACGCATTTGGGGTGCAGCACATGGACACTTCAGGTGTGGATGCAGGTGGGTGCCCTGGGCTGGCCCCTCTCGTGGGCAGCCTGGAGGCACAGGCAGTACCTTCACGGCAGAGGGCACGGGAAGCGTCGGGCTCTCCTGCCCCGCTGTCTGCTTGGGGCTGTCACATTGGCTGCCGGGCCCTGGGGCAGTGTCCGGAGTGTGGCCATCGGCACTGGGGGGACGATCCTGCAAGGGAGAGGTGAGAGGGGCTGTGAGGCCGGACCCAGGGGCTGCCCAGCCTGGACAGGGRCACCTGGTACTCTGTTTCCTCATCCCATGTTGTTCCCATTCCCCACAGATGCCCCCGTGCATCCCAGTCCCCTCACGTCTATCCCAGCCACAGCCCCAGACTACCCCAGTCCTCTGTCTCCACACCCCTCCTTGGCTTCCAAGCCCTCTCAATTTCACCTGAGCTCCATATCCTTGTTTGCTCCCCCTGTGCACTGCTGGCTCCTCAGTGTCCCCCAGATTAGACCAGTCCTTCCAGCTGACCTTCAGACGGCCACAATCCCTCTGGTCTTCTCCCACCCCACTGTGTCCCAGTTCCTCCCTTTCCCCCGCGTCCATAGGAGCCCTCCCAGTCTTCCTCAGTCCGCTCCAGTTCCCGCAGTCCCCCCTGGTCCCGCCGTTCTCCCCAGCCTCCACATTCCCCCTATTCCTCCCCAGTCCCCCAGTTTTCCCTGGCCTTCCCCAGTCCCCCCAGTCCCCCCAGTCCCACCACGGCCCCGCCGCTCCCCGCGGCTGCAGTGCCCGTGCCGGCGGGCAGGGGGCGCGCCGGGGCCGCGCAGCGCCGTCCCCCTGCGGTCACAGCATCACAAAATCACAGAGAATCACAGAAGATCACAGAGAATCACAGAGGATCACAGAATTAACCAGAATGGAAAAGACCTTTGAGATCATCAAGTCAAACCTGTGACCCAACACCCCCTTGTCACCCGACCATGGCACCGAGTGCCACATCCAGGCTTTTGTGAAACACCTCCAGGGGCCGTGACTCCACTGCCTCCCTGGGCAGCCCATTCCAGTGACCAGTCACCCTTTCTGTCAAGAAATTCTTCCTCATGTCCAACCCAAACCTCCCCTGGTGCAGTTACGACTGCATCCTCTCGTCCTATTGCTGGCTGCCTGGGAGAAGAGACCGACCCCGGCCTGGCTGCCCTCTCCCATCAGGGAGTTGTGGAGAGTTACGAGGTTCCCCCTGAGCCTCCCAGGGCTAAACAACCCCAGCTCCCTCAGCCKCCCCTCACAGSGYTTGTATTCCARGCCCTTCCCCAGCCTTGTTGCCCTTCTCTGGACACRCTCCAGTATCTCCACATCCTTCCCAAACTGGGGGGTCCAGAGCTGGACAYAACACTCAAGGTSCGGYCTAWMCAGTGCCGAGTACAGRGAAGAAATAAATTCTTCCACCGTGACTCCCTCCTGTATCCCCCCATCGCTCCTGTCCCGTGTCCCCCCGGCTCCAGACCGGCTCGTCCTACCTGGGGGGCCTCGGCAGGGGCGGAGGGGGGCGGCTCCGGGGCTTTGGAGCCGGGGGGCGGCTCGGCGGGTCCTGGGGAGCCGCGGCTGCGGGGCCGCTCCGGGGACAGCCCATCGTTGCTGCTGTCCTCCTCGAAGGCGAAGGCGTCGGCCGGGCGAGGAAAGCCGCCCTGGGTGCCTGCGGGGGCAGAGGGGWGACGGTCAGAGCCCGCGGGGAGCGGGGCAGCGGCGAGGGGCACGGGGCCTGGATGAGCCCAGAGGGAGCCTCGGGCTGCGCCCACCGCCCGCTCCCGGCCCTGTGAGAGTCACACGCGTGTCCGGGGGACTCGGCCCGTTCCGGGACAGAGAGCAGCCATGGACAGGGACGCTTGGGAGACCGAGAGAGGAGGGGTCTGGGGAGCCGAGAGCATGGACCATGTTCTTTAGGAGGGGGAAAGGTGAGGGGTGTGAGGAACCGTGACCACGGACTGTGTCCCTTGGGAGAGAAGAGTGATCTGAGGAGCCAGGACCATAAACCATGTTCCTTGGGACAGGGAGAGAGAAGAGGTTGGAGGAGCCTGGCCTGCCAACACAGAAGGGCGGGTGCAGACAGGTGGGATGGGTGCCCCTCTGCCGGACTGAGCTGGGAGAAGGGCGAGAGTTGCCCTCCCACACCTGAATACCCTGGCTGAACACCCGCACCACTCATGGGATCCCGTCCTCAGCAGGACTGAGGCTGAAATCAGCTCACGRTGTGATCCATCTGCTCATGGCAAGAGCCAAGAAGGGTGGATGTGCCACATGCTGTCTGTGCCCACAGGCTTCACCCACAGGACATGGTTCAAACCACGGCTGCTGCCTGCCTGACAATCCCAGGCTGCTCCGTCTGCACAGCTCCTGCACTGTTATCTGCTAGTCAGATGGGCAAGGGCTCTTGACCCCGAGGTTTTGATGATAAATAAAGTGCTGAGAAAAAAAAGTCTCATGTGAGCCTCRAGAGAGCTGCAGGTGGGGGTAGAGGAAGGAGCAGCATGGCTACACTCGTAATCTCCTCATGTTCATGTCTGGCATTTGTCAGGCAGCTTGGCACACTGATARCAAGGTGACAAATGGGGAAATAGGAAGGGCCTGGGGACAAGCTTCCACCTGTCCCTGTTGCTGGTCTAGCAATGTGCACCTTCTCACTGACACGCACCTCCTGCTCTGACCCCTGCCCCTATCTGAGAGATAAGGGTTATCTCCACTCCCTGCGGCTGCTGGTGCCAGGGTGGGTGAGGACAAAGCCCTGGCTCCCTGCCTGAGCTTCTGCCCAGACATGGGCTGGGGAAATGAGATCAGCTGTGTCCAACTTGCTCTCTTCATACATCCCTGGAAGTAGGGCCTGTGTCCTCTCCATCTGARGCAGCACCCAAACAGGTCCCTGAGGAACTGCATGGTCCACCTGGGCTGCATGGGAGCTGCTTCCCACTCCTGCACACCAGAGTGGACATCTCTTCTCGGAAAAAAGGACTCGAAGCAAGGGGGGCTTATGGATGCGCAGGGCTCCTGCAGGTGAGAGGCAGTGCCAAAGCTGGAAGCCCAAGGGACCTTCAGGACMCAGTGACAGCCCAGAGCATGACAGGAATGTGCTGCATACTGCTGCTTGTACTGCTGGCCTGTGCCAATGGGGAATGCGTCCCTTATCTGTCCTGCTCTCACCCAGCCAGGCCTGAGCGTATTGTTTCTTGGTCCTGTGTCCCTGTTGTAATCTCAGGCAGGATGGTGTTTGCACCGGGCTGTTTCTAATGCACTGGGTATTGTCCTCTTGAGCACATTGGACAAAGTGATGACAAGGACCTGGTAAAAAAGGGTTCTTGTATCACTGCTCAGCTATGCAGGGCACTGGCAGCCTCCTGTCACCGGGACATTTGGACTTTCTGTTGGGGTCTGGCACTTTCTGCTTACCCTGCCGGAGGTGATTAGAGGAACACGTCAGCTGAACTTTCCACTGTATAAACAGTTGAGATTCCATAGTTAAAGTAAAATGATTTTAAACCCTGTCATCTTTCTGGTATTGCGAAAACAAAAGGCTTAACGTTCTGAAGTGCYAGCGCTCATCTCTGCTCTGTGTTCAGCCCTTTGCCCCAAACTGCAAGTAAAATAAGAGGCCTCTGACTCCAAAAATGAGCTTGAGGATTCTTCAGCTTGGGGCTTTCTGCAGAAACCTGAGGGCTGGGATAGTGTTCTTGGTGCAGCTGCATGACCTTCTTCTCATGACATCCTGCGGTACCAAGCACCTAATGTGCTGCRTGTTTCACCCTAAATGGGATGAAACTGGCTTAAAGGACATGTTTTTTCCCCAGCAATGTGATASAGGAGCATTGTGAAAATGAGTAATTTAAAATGGAACAAACAATTTTTAAGCCAGACCTTTTGTTTTTAACTGTTTGGTCCTGTAAATCTGTTTACCACAAGCTCCTGACAAGGCAGCTGCAGAGATGCTCTATGCAAGATACAAGTTCACTAGCCCAGCCTCCAAACCTCAGCTCCAGGGAATAAAGCCATGCTCAAACTGCCTCAAATGTTTATTAAGGGGAGGGGTGGTGTGGTGTGAAAGTTTTCTCCCTCTACTGTTTTGTCCTTCAGTAAATGGCTGGGAAGATTTTATTTGAACTCGCCTTAAAAATTCCTCTTCAGGCAGAGTCCTGGAACATTTCACCTCCAAAGAGGAGAGCCTGCAACTTGCTGGAAATGGAGCAGCTCCAGGGCCAGGCTGGAGAAGCTGCTATACATAACACAGCCTGCATTTCACAGCCCCAAAACCAAGAGCAGGAATAGTTCTGGRGCAGGACAGAGCAGTATCTGTGCCTGGAATATTTCATGTCCTTTATGATGGTTTCTGAGATGAAATGGAAGTTAAAATGCTTCCTGTTCCAACTCTCACTTTTGACATCTCCTGTCACTCCAAGACCCTTTCTGTCCCAAAGCCCTGCTACTGTCCCTAGCTTGCTCTGACCTCCAGAACAGACTCTTCAAATGGGATTATGCCAATGGAAATGATCCCATGAACTGAGGAACTGTGGGCAACAGAACAAGCAGCTTGCGGGGGCAGAGCAGCTCTCAGTGCCTCTTTGGAGACCTGAGGACCTGTTTAGAATGTGTGGAGATGGCCCCAGGCTTCAAAAACAGGGGTTGCTGTCCTATCACTGTGGGACCCTGCTGGCTTTCCTGCTCCCTTTTCTGCTYTTGGACCTCCCTGTCCCGGCACTGGGCTCTGGTGAAATTCGAGTCACCTTTTTGCTCTCTGTTGGCTCCCACAMCATCTTCCCTGCAGCAGTGTGGGGAAGTAATTGTGGATGATTCTTCCTCCCTCCTCTGGTGAGGGTAGGTGATGCAAGAAAATCAAGCGTAGGGATAAGGCAAGTGCTGGRTCCCTGCTGGTAGGACTGACCCTATTTGGGGGTGCAGGCCCCTGCTCATATTCTCCAGTGTCTTAGTGCCCCAGGGGTGCTTCCACACCCCAGGGATGCAGCATCCTGCTCTGTTGGGTCCTGCAAACCACTATGACCAGTGGTCAAAAAAAGGAGAACCACAGCCTTGCTGAACCGGGTCCATGTCACCCCCATTTACTGGGATGTGAGAACTTGGCAGGGCACAAGTGGGAGAATCTGGGCTGGTCTCACAACCACACCTGTGCACTCACATTCTCTCCCATGCTGGAGGAAGCAGTGTCCTGTGTCCAACTCAGTATTACTTCTGAGCWCAAAGCCTTGGGGAGGGAAGGGGTGTAAGAAGGGAGGTTCTTTCTGTGCCTGAGCAATTGTGCATGTTTCGGTTCACTGCTCTGAGAGCTCTGTGCTCACAGGCTGTGCTGGACTGAGCTGGTTACTGTGAAAATAGTGAAATTTAAACAACAAATGCAGCTCCTACATCCAGATCAGTCAATTCCTGCAGTCCCTGTGGTACCTCCTTGTCCCCTCGGCAGCCCCTGTCCTGCTCCACATGCACACACAACGCGCACATTCGCTGYCACTACCTTTTATGGCCTCTTTCACAGCCGAGTCAACGGGAATAATATTCTTCTCCACCAGCTCCAAAGGACCCGGCCTGAGCGCGATCTTTTCATTCAGGTCATCTGCCAGTCGGGCTCTTTTCAGCTTCATTTGAGTAGACTGAATGGACCCCTCTGCAGCTGAGTCTAAAAGGCCAAACAGAAGCATCAGGACTGGGRGCTCCTGTGGGCACAGAACTCAGTGAGAAAGTACTGCCCTTCAGCACAGTCTCTGGGGACTGTGGTCAACACCTGAGCGTGGCTCAGCACAAGCAGGATCTGCTTTGCTGCACTGGATGTGGCTGCTGGGGTTTGGGACATGGGTCCTTTGTTAAGCCTCAGGCCCAGCTTCTCCATTCTCAAACAAGAGCCTCTGTCTACCAGCCTGGGCTTGCAAACCCAGCCTGCAGCTGAAGCATCCCCTGCAAGGCCCAAGAGGGATCTGTGATGGAAGCTTCATTAACAAGCTGCCACTAACAAGAGCCWGAGGGGTCTACAGCTCCTGCCTGTCAGGAGCACACTGGCCTCTTGTGGGCTAGTGCAGATGAATCCCTGCTTCTGGGAAACAGCTGGAGAATAGAACCACTGGCAGTGCTGGACAAGTGGAGTAAATTGCTTACACTGGAATTAAGAATGCTCAGTCATGGGCTGTGGACTTTTGGAGGTGACATGACTACAATGCTCCAGGCCTTCGGGGAAGAACAAGCTTGAGAGGAGCAGAGCAAAAGCAGGTAGATCTGGAAGCTACAGCCCTACCAAAGCCAGCTGAAAAGACCCCAGTGACAGAAGAATAGCAACTTAAACAGAAAGATATCCTGGCTGGCTCCTCTCTTGGCACAGGTAAGAGTAGTGAGGGAATGGGACTCTAAACTAGACCATTTCTACACCCTTTAGGGTCTAAAGTAAGAACAGCTGCATGTAGGTTGTTCTGTCTTCAAAGACTGGAGACTCTCTGGAAGACCTACCATAGGCAATATGAGCTACAGGGCTTGATACTATAGAAAAGTCTCTGCAGGAGGTGAGGAGGGCTGGTCTAGGGCCCTTTCTGGCCTCAGATTATATAGAGCTGTGAACACAGATGAGCTCCCTGAGGTGAACAGTAACAGAAGGGGTGATGTAAAGTGTCTCATCTGGCCAGTTTCAATCGCCTCTAGGTCCTGTTATGAACAGAATGGATTTGTAAGTCCATGGCATACCAAGACACAACTCCATGAAATGCAGAGCAGGATGGACAGAGAGTGGGCAGAGGCTGCAGGTAATGGGGCTGTGGGGCAGCAGTGTATCTTTGCTCAGTGCACACCAGGCACTCTCTGCTCTCTGCAGTCTCTGTCCCCTAACTGGCTCAGTACCTGTCCATGCCCAGGGATTGCAACTGTCTCCATGTGTAGTAACAGCCCCCCAGCTCCAGTCCATATTGCTTCTATTATTTATCCTAAAGGAAACACACTCTCCAGCTCTTAAACAAGCAACGGTGCTAGCTTGTTTTGGGGATAGAAATACAAGGGAAGAGCAAGGCAGCAGCACTGATCCAGCATGGGACCCTGGCTCAACCCTTCTGCCTGCCAGAAGAAGAAAGAAATACAGATTGCATCCATGCTGAGAGCAGAGAGCAGCATTCACAGCTGCCAGAGTGATCTGTTTCTTCCAGGCAAGTGACAGGACTCAAGGAGGGAGGGAAGGCTGCGCATCCTCTCTGTCTCTAAGGATCTTGTTATCTCTGGAGATAACAAGGGACACTGTGGTGTTCTGCTGTCTGTGATGGGATACAGCCCTGCCAGCTCTCTGGCTAAGAGGGAACACCAGGATGGGAGAGAAGAGAGCTGCTCTGGCTCACAGACTGATAGCAGGGCTTTTCATACTGCTGTGTCAGGGTCATTGGCTGCATGGGCTGTCACACAGAATATCCAGAATTATAGCAGCACAAAACATGTCCMGCTTTGGGAAGGTGTTACAATGACCTGCTACAGGAATTTCAGTGCCCTGGACAACAAACACCCGGGGTTTGCTCTTCATGATCAGACATCAGCACCGCGGTCTAACAGAGTTCTCTCTCACAGCTGTTCTGTACCCCAATGTTCCCTAGCACATCTTACACTCTCCCACTGCCAGAGATGGGAGAAAGGCTGGATGGCCTTGGGACTGTGTCTGTCAAACAAAAAACACATGTCCTGCTTCCTGAACACCAGGTCTGGGTAGAATTTCATACAACGTATCCCAGAGGAGTCTGTCCCTCATGAGCAGCTGGGACAAAGTTAACAGCAATGAGATTCCTGAARGAACACAAGTGAGGCAGGAGAGACACAAGTCCCAGGGCAGGAGACAGGAGGAGTACRTGGGAGAAGCTCGGGCAGTCTTACCTTGCAGAATGTGCATATTGACCAGGTCTGACCGCTCAGGCCTGCTTCTGATCTTGTGCTTGAGATAATCTTCAGTCTGCAGAACACAAATGCAAAGTTACCTGGCTAGAGCAGCAATAGGGWACTGAGAGCACCTGCCCCTGTGCCATCCCATGATTCTTTTGGATTTATTACAAGCTGGGTTGAGTAAGCTCCTAAATGACATTTTTCATCACTGAGACACTGGCTTGTTCTTAGGCAGAAGTTCTTCAGAAAGGGAGCAATGTGCACATAGCTGCTGACTGTTCACTGCACCCACTGCTGTGTTCTTTGCAATCATCTCTATTGGGCTTCTGATGCCTGAAATGTTATGAGAACTCATAGAAAGGGTGACACCTATTCCCTAGGAGTGGTGGGCCTGCACACCATGTCACCTTTGAGAGCTGCACCAAGACAGCTCTGGAGTGTTCTGGTAGCAGTGGCTTCTGTGGAAAGCCCAGCATTCTGGAGTGAGACATCAGGCAGAGCAAGTCATGAAGCCACTCAGGCTCTCTACCCAGGTCAGCCACCAGGCTTAACCTTCCCACAGACTTCAGTTCCTGTGCTCTCTGGTTCCTCACCCAAGATTTGATATGGGATTGGGAAAATCTACTTGGCAGTCACTGCAGCTGAGCTTGTGGTGGTTACGGTCCTGGAGGCTTGTGTCAACTCCCTCATGGTTTTAGGAACAAAGAGGCTCACAGAGGTATAGTAACAGCATCCATAAGGGCCAAAAAGTCAGCCTTGAGGGCTGATGACCTCAAGAATACAGTAAGTTTATCCCCTGGTGAAGAAAAGCTAGAACTCAACTTAGACAAGKTATTAGCTCTTAGTTAAACTGAGCTTCAAGAAGAAATAGTACAAAAATTGTAACTTAGTTCAAAGAGGTTAAAATCTTAAGGATAAATATAAAAGAATGTTACAAGCGGCTTGACCAAAATTGTAAATCTCCAGTACAAAATGTACAGGATCATGAGAAAAAGATCTTATAAGGATTTCTGCAGCTGGGATCAGGCAGTGGAAAGTCCTGTCTGCGTTCCATAAACAGGAGAAATAATTGYGCATACTGCTGAGATGGCTGCAGGACTTAATGCCTTTTAAAACCATCCTCACTAAAAAGATAAATGGCTCTTTATCAATCAGATGGCTCAGCCAAGAACCTTCAGCAACAAAAGAGAAGAAGCTTCAGTTATCGTGTTGGAGAACAGGTTAGAGTGTGCTCAGAGGAGTTAAATGTTCCCAAACAGTTTGACACACATGAGGCTAGAGTAATAGCAACTATCTGTGGTTCTCCAGGAAAATGGGCAAAGGAGAGAATAATTTCTTGCTTTGAAAGAAATGGAGAGAAGAAACCAGGAAATTATAAAGCAGACAGCAAGATATTGGGCCAAACAATCTGCATAAATGGATTTTGAAGTTAGCAAGGAGGTGAGCGAGGTACAGCCAGGATGAATTTATCCAAGAACAAATCATATCACACCAACCAAAATTCCTTCAATGGAGAGATGACAATTTTCTGTTACAAGAATAAACAATGAATGTCATGCAGCTTGACTCGAAGCATGTTTTGATATTGTTGCACCTGGCTTTCTCACATACAAGCCAGAGAAATTTGGTCTGGATAAGACTAATATAGTAAAGGAGCATAGCTRTGGATCACCAGAGGAATTGGAAATGGCTAACAGTCTAAACAGAAGAAAATATCAAATCCTGTTACAAAGCATTTTTTTTTTCCTGCTAATCAATATATTAATCAATGCTTTGAATGATAGAAGACATACCCCTTAATTCTGAATCACTCATGGCTAACAGATTACAGTGCACCATGATTTGGAGCAACTGATGGTCTGGAATACATGTGCTACCGTTTCCAGAARGATGTTTGGGAAGGACTGTGCTCAGGTTGCAGCCACAGCTAAGCCAGCTGATTAAGCACAGCAATGGATGAAGAGTTAATACACCAGAGATGCTCCTGCAGWGGTTACTGGACAGGGTCTTAGGCAGAAATTATTTACTCCATGCACAGGAAAAGTATGAAAGGCTCTGGAGAATCCAGTGATCAGCAGCTGACCCACAACCCCAAACCAGCAAGGGAGACACAGCACAGGGTGTCAGCTGGGCCCTGTTCTGTGTCCTGCATCTGAAAGGGTCCATGGGAGGGTCTGGGCAGCAGCTACACACATCACCATTGAGTCAGAGATGGGATCAATGAAGGGACTGAGGGGAGAGGAGGAGAGGTTGAGGTGAGCTGGCAACAGGGACACAGAATGCAAAACAGCTTTTAAAAGTGCTGCAAAAAAAAAAGAGACACAGTTCTGCATGTGCACACAGGAGTGTGCTTAAACTACAGCAGAACAGCTTGGTCTGGGAATCAGGGTCATGACCTCACAGCACAGGTCAGAGCAACAGAGCAGGGCACTGGCACTGGCTGTCTGTGGGTGCTCACACACCAGAGCAGGGCACTGGCACTGGCTGTCTGTGGGTGCTCACACACCAGAGCACAGCACTGGCACTGGCTGTCTGTGGGTGCTCACACACCAGAGCACAGCACTGGCACTGGCTGTCTGTGGGTGCTCACACACCAGAGCACAGCACTGGCACTGGCTGTCTGTGGGTGCTCACACACCAGAGCAAGGCACTGGCACTGGCACTGGCTGTCTGTGGGTGCTCACACACCAGAGCAGGGCACTGGCACTGGCTGTCTGTGGGTGCTCACACACCAGAGCAGGGCACTGGCACTGGCACTGGCTGTCTGTGGGTGCTCACACACCAGAGCAGGGCACTGGCACTGGCTGTCTGTGGGTGCTCTCACATCAGTCAGGACTGACCCAGTAGAGCTGCTCTGCTCCGGGGGCAGAGGCACTACAGCCGCCCCTGCAGCCCCTCTGTGCTGGGGTACTGGGTGAATGCTCAAGCCCTGCTGAGCCAGACGGCCCCAGGAAAGGCAGCCTGCTCTCTTTCCTCCACCCCAGAAATCTATTATAAGACATGGACTTCAAAGTCTGCTGCGCTGGCCTGATGCCAGCCTCTAGCATAGCCAGTGACATGTTTAAACAAACAATAGACATTTTATTTACTGAAGCCTTTACAACGCCTTACCCTTCCCCCTATATTTTTTCCCAGCTTATTTCCACCAACACAATCTGATGCTTGGACCATGTGTAGGTTTGCCTGGTTCCTGTGCCAGGTCAGAGCAAGCTGATGTCTGCACCTGAGTGCAATTAAATTCAYGTAATGCATTTCCAGCTAATCCTTAGATCAGGTCCTGCATTGGGCTCAGCTCCAGTTGCTCTCCTACAGCTGTGGCTTTGCTCATGTTTTCTGCTGGGACTTCAGTACCTTTGGACCCTGGCTCTTAATAAGCTGCAAATTTGTGTCTCTGGGGTGCAAATGACGAAGACTTCACATGTGAACTTTTTTAACATCAGTTGAGGCAGAATAGCTTTCAGAACACACACTCAGTTATATATCTGCTTTCTGTTTGCACATCAGCTCGGGGGAATATTAGCTGAAGAACAAATGCCTTTGAGTAATTATGCAGAAACAGCTGCTGATCTTCCCTGTCCCAGGTCTAAGCAGGGCAGCTTTGCAAGGGAATTATGTTTGTTAYGGGCTGTGCTCAGTGTCTTCATTAGCAGTTTCTGAAAGTGCCTGTGGTTTGGGATAAACTAGACCATCCTTCCCCTTTCCCCAGGCAGCTAGCCAGTGAAAGCTTTTGAAGASAAAGAGACACAAATGTATACTTTAACTGTAAAATATATGACACTTCAAGGATACTTTGGATTGCTTGAAATTTTTTAAGCATACTAATTTTTCAGAGTCATATTGTGTTCCTTACAGTCGCCATTTATTACCACAGGAGACTTGGGGCAAGTGATTTGGAGCGTGTTTAAGTTCAGAAGAGCACTTCCCTGTATTTCACAATCATTCTTCCTTGCTAAGGTCCTTTCCCATGTGACTGCAAACACGTTTTGCAGATTAATGAACCAAAYTCTTGTGTTCAAGCAGAACCTGCATGACTAAATTACTCCCTTTTCTAGAATCATCCCTCCAGCTTGGTCAAAGCTGGATTGTGGGTGATAGGAAAATGAATGTGACTTCCCAAAAAGTGATCAGATCACAGAGTTTCAATGTGTTCTGGAAATGGCTACTGCCTTTGGCAGTGTTTAGGGAAGCCTGGCAATGGGGTGGATGGGAGCCTGACCCATTTTCCCTTTGGGTGTTGTGTCCTGATGGTCAAGCTGCACTGCAGAGCTAAAAGCTGGAGCTCCTGCCTGGTGACAAGTGTGAGTTCTGAGTTCCCTGGAGATTTGCTCCAGGGGGCACCTGCATTCCCTCTGCACACTTGCTAACTCTGTTCCCTCAGGTCTGGCTGGCAGGAGTGCAGAGCAGCCTGAGCAGAAGGAGTGGCTGTGGATGTGGCCTGGAGGGGGAGGCAGCAGCTCCACTGGTTGGGCATTTACTGGAAGCACTGACAAAGCCATGTTGAACCATGCCCTGCCCACGGGGCTGCTGTAAAACCCCACAGCTCAGGGCACAGATGGCCCCTCTGCCCTTTTTTCAAACCTTCCCTGTTGRGAGAAGGGTGCTGCAGAGCCCTGGCTTGACCTCAGCACGTCTGGAAGCAGGGCAGATACCCTGCCCCTCATCCTGGGCCTGCATGGAAGGTGCTTTCAAACCCCGTGACTCATGCAAAGCAAGCCCGTGTGCTCCCTCATTGGGATGGCTGCAGGAGTTACCTTGGCTCGCTCCAGACTTTTTCGCTGTTCATGGAATGCAGATGGGCTTTTCAGTGCTGCAACAGGAAAGAAAGAGGAGCAGTCAGCACAGGAGCGGAAGCAAGCAGCTACCAGGATATTCAGCAACAGCATTTTAATGAGTGCTATAAAAATAGCAACACAAACTAGCTGTTCTCTTTATTGCGCTGACTAAAAATAACTCAGGAAAGCTCTGGGAAATCCCATGCTCTCCACCAGTCCATGGCMAGAGAGCAGGGGGACGGCGAGCATGGGGAGAGCAGGAGGCACGTGGGCAGGGAGGGGGTGCAGGCTTTGAAACACAGTGCTCTGTGGGACACTCAGAGAGCAGATGCATCTCTTCCCTGTCATATTCCCTGCAGGTCATGGAAGGCACCACAGCTCCAGAAGACAGATCTGGGAAGAGCAAACAMCTGTGAGGGATCTCACCTGAAAGTAAAACCTGCAGGTGACAGACTTGAGGTCAGCAGGAAAATTAACCCCTGCCTCAGCCCTTGGGGTTTGTGGTGAAGCCTCCAGTGAGGGCATTGCAAGGTGATCCTTTATCCATCTTCTGTCACTGCCCAGGCTGGACATTTGTCCTGTCCCCTGCTCTGAAGCAGCTGTGTGGGACCTCCCTGGGCAGGTAGGCAGCAGACCATGTCCTCAGCATTTCCTGACTCTAAGGAGGATTAACCCAGAGGTGTTCCCAAAAAAAGGCCAATAATCCCTGGCTCTTGGACCAGTGAACACCCATCCCATAGAGCAGTCTGTATTCRAGTCATTGCACATTTCCTTGTTTACTGTGGTTCAGTAGAAATCAAGGCAGAATTTGCATGGTGAAGGGGTTAATACTTCTCACATGTTACGAAAATTTTTTTCTGTCTGTGTAAGCAGACAAAACTAACTGTTCCCATTGGGAAAAAGGAAGGGGAAGGTGTCCTGACCCACAAAAACAGTCTGCTGCAACTCTTTCCTTGGCAACAGAAATTCTCTTTCCATCTTCTGAATGGGATCCAATAAAGGCAGACACTATTTTCACACAGGTCTAGTTATCCTCCATCAGTCTAGAGGAGGATGAAAAGAAGACTGGGGGAAACAGGAAAGGTTTGGGGGCCCTCTGAATTGRCTTTTGGTAGTCAGCACCCAGGCAACCCCCCTGCCATATCCAGTGAATCACAGAAAAACACAGAAGGCACGTTCCTACTCCTGACATTTGGAAAGCAGACAGACAGACAAGCTGGTGTTGCTGTGCCATGCTCCAGTGAGCAGCCACCAGCACTGGTGACAGCTGGTTTAATCAGAAGMAAAATCTAACAGTGCACATGAGAAAATGAAGTCAGCAAGAGAGATGACTTTCCCAGCCCTGCTGATGTGAAGTACCGATGCTGGCAGTGTGCTACAGGCACTGACCAAGTGCCATGGTATTGAAGAAAAAAGTGGTGCAAAGTTGAGTGATTTACCGTGATTTTTGGAGGGATTGTGTGGGTGCTGCAGCTTATATTAGTCTGCAAAACAAATAAAGACATGGCTAGCACTTCTGGTTCAGAGAAGTTGTCAGGGGATGACATCTGAGCATGAAATGGCTGAGGGTCTGGAGGCACTAGGGGAGAGCTGCTGTGTGTGGCTCTGATAACCTTGGGACAGTTGGTTTAAGGTTTCAGTGAGAGGACAAGGTGGTGGCTGTGTACAGCAGGAGGGCCTTCAAGYGCAGCTATTTTTGCAGTCCATCATAGTCTGGGGAACCTTGTCTTGGGAAATCCTCGATCCTGCAATCTGCTTCCTCTTCCCTTCACACAGGTGAGGTGCATCTGGCCTGGGAAAAATGTCTGGACAGGTCTAGAGAGGATTTATCCATGCTCATTGCTATAGCTGCCTTTCTGCAGGTGACCTTGCATGGTCTTGATTTGAAGTGCTTYTGCTGGGTCTGGAGCAGTTTCATTCAGATAAAACAGCTGCATGTGTTGGTGCATGAGCTGGAAATCTCCTGCTTGGTGAGGCTGAGGGACAGAGCAGACTCTGCTCTCACCTSTGCTCCTGTGCATCGGGAGCATAGCTGGGTCCCAAAAAACCTGGATGTCCCCTTGCTTTCAGARGATCCTCCATATCCAGAGCCACAARGCTGAACAGATTCAGAGGTTGYTGYTGCCTACCRGTCTGTCCTGTTTTTATTTGCAGAGCCTGTTTCACTGGTGCTGTTTGTTTTGCCAGCTCATTGTTCAATTTAYRGCCTGATAACCTCTGACCATAAGCACAGCTTTGAACCTGAAGTCTTGTGCAGTGCCACTGCTGCTGAGCATCCTCMTTTGGGCAGTGTTCTGCCTTCTCCCATGATGGAGCCACCTGTGCTTTCACATTTCTTAAAGGAGCATCCAAGGAAGAGTGAACAAAGCTCAGATATGCAACGACAAGAATCTTTTCCAATCAAACCAAGCACAGATTGAGTTTTGCTAAGGACATTTWTCTCACTGTGCTATGCTCAGGTAACACTGATACTTCTCCCTGCACAATTCTCTTGGATACCAAAACCCAGCCAGATTTCCAGGACTCACTCCCATGTTTCCCACTTCCTGTATGCAGCTGCAGTGCTGAACAGATAAGGAGGCTTGGTGGGTACTCAGCACATCTCTTTCTACAAGGGTTTCTACAAGTCCTCAAGCTCTTATCCAATGTGTGGTTCTTTCACACTGACTTTCCATCTCTCTTTCTTGTCTCTGTCTAAAATGGATGAATGAGAGAAACAAAGTCTCTTGGTCCTGGGATTACACCGGCAGAGAGTGCATGCAATGGGTTGAAATCAATCCTTGTGCARAATCTGCTGTGCCATGTGAGACCAAGTGCATGCTCCAAGCCTGGGCCCAAAGCTACCTCTCTCCATGGAGACCAGCCATGCCAATCTTTTCTCTTTGAGAAAATTCTCATCCCCTCTGTGAGAGGGATAAGGATCCATTTCTCACTCTCCTGCAATACCTGTGAAGTGAGATCCTGTCCTGGTGCACCTTTCAGAGCCCACCTCACCTGCTGGTCCTCAGAACCAACAGGGCATGGGAAGATGTGGTTAATGAAGACTTGTTTTTCATGAGGAATGTCTGCACATGCCCAAGCCATGGGGAAGCTGGCTGAGACTCCCACATATTAAATGCTAACATCTGACACTTCCTCCTGAGGTCAAATTCAGCAGTTAAGTTCTGTGTGTTTGTTTTTATAAAGGCATAAGTGCATTTTCTTCTGTTACTTTCAGTGAGTGAACTGTGCTCAAGTTTCCCAAAATGGTCTTTTTGGACAGAAACCAGACTGCAAAATGTCAGCCTAGGAGTTGGAAGTGCAAAGAAGCTGTAAGTAACAGGAAAATACCCTTCAGTTACCATCACATAAATTTGGCTTAATACTTTGCAATGTGTAAGGTTTGAAGTGTCGGGTGCCCTGTGTGACAGAGCAGCCTCGCAGAGCTGCCCCAGGTGTACAAACCTGTCAGGGGGCTCTRCTGGCCCATGTGTGTGCAGGGTGGTGTCCTGCACCTTGTCCCCACCTTTACAGACTGGACTTTGCAATTTGGGAGATGTTAGACAAATTTTTGGCCACTGACTGTGTTTCTAGTTCTTGCAGTGCCCTAACAAATGTCACAGTATTTTGTTTAAAGCTTCAGCTCCTAGAGTCTTGTGATCAAAGTATAAAGCAAAAATCTGAATGTTTAAAGAAACAGACAGGTGAAAACCAGAAAGATAATGCATTTATCAGTCTTAACACCGTTGATCTTTTTGGTTGTCATGATTTTTGTCATCCTGCTCAAGTCTTCCTAATGCTTGATGCTGACAAGAATGTCCTRAGAAGGTGCCTGTTGCTTGGCACAGTCCAGGAGGGCAGGGCAAATGGACAGGGTGCAGCAAGCAGTGCTRGAGCCGTGCTCTGAGAGAGGTGGTTCTGCTCTTTAGGCAAGAGCTCCATCACAGGCTTCATGGACAACCAGAGGAGACAGAAGTGACACAGCCTCTGGAAAATTGTGATCTTAGCAGTGAGCCCAAGGGGTCCTTGGTGAGACACAAAGGATAATCCTCTACCTGGGTCCCAGGTAACCACAGATTTGCACATGGAGCCTGAGCTACGTCAGGATGGAGTATTCCACTGAGCAGGGCTGGGCTCCCAACATCCTTTCTCCAGTGGTGCTACAGGTTTCATGGTGCACCTGCAGGTGCAGAAGGGGATTGTTTTCATTCACTGACTTTTTGGGCTCTAGCAACTGACTTTCTGGGACTTTCTGCTGCTGAAGGGTTCARTGGTAAAGCTGTCCTGGAGCTTGTCCTTCAGGCTCCACTGTCAGGTGAGCTGAGGTGGATGGGGTCAGAGAGGGAACATATTTGTCATTGCATCAAGCAGCCCCTGTGGGGTTCATTTGCCTCGGGTGTGCACTGACAGCCAGGGATTGCCTGTCTGCACAGGGGACAAGGCAGTTCCCCAGAGCGGCCTCCCTCTCCAGCCTCCTGGAATGGGCCCTCTCATCCTCCTCCTTGTCCTGCCACAGAGGTTTCTGGCTTTTACAGAACAGAAGATTCACTGTCCTTGCCCACATGAAAAGCTTTGTGAGTCCTCTGCTTGAGTTGGATAAGCTTGTCCTGCTACAYTGACCTCTGGGACAGAGAGCTCTGCAGCTGAAATTTTGGATGGTGTAAGGTAAGCATCCTTCCTGACTTCAGTTTGAGCAGGGCCATTATGGTGTGTGAAAAATGCACTGTACAGCACCAGGGACAYATTTCTGCAGGGCAGGAAGCAAAGTCCCCCTGGTAGCACTTTGCTCTGAGCTCTGTGGGTCTGAGTGGGCAGCTGGTGCCAGACAGTGCCCCAGCAGTGCCCAGCATGAACACAGCCCTCTGAGCCGGGATGAAAAAGGCAGAAGCAGATACTCACGTGGCATGATGCCTTGGTCTGCCAGCTGCTCACGGGTCCTTCTCTGCTGGAGCCGCAGCTGTAAAACTGTGTGAGAGAGAGAGTGTCAGGGAAAGGGGCAGGATTGTACTGAGGTGCTCATACAGGGACAAAGTCTGTGGGGTGTGTGTGCA